CCTTAAATTAAAATAAATAAATAAATAAATTTGGAGGAATTTAAAAGTTAATAAATATACCAATAATTTATTGGTCCTAGTGTGGCGCTGTGGACTAATGGGTCAGACCGCAAAGTCATTTGAACTGCAAGGTCAGTAGTTCAAGCTCACCAGCTGCTCCTTGGAAACCCTATACAGGGTCACTATGGGTCGGAATCAACTTGATGGCACTTAACAACAAAAATTAAGAATGAATAACAGAATATACAAGGATAAATCAAAAAGTATTGCTACTTATATTCCAGTTCATCCATATACAAGTTTGTTCCAAGCAAACTGTGTTTAAGGAAGTCTCTGAGATCAGTGGAAGGTGGCAGGAAAGTTCTCTCAGTAACACACTTGTCTTAGTCTCCCTAAAAGGCCTTCAAAAGGTCCGATCATAACAGTGGCTTCTCAGGGGATCTGCTGGGCCAGTTAAATTCAAGACGGAGAGGTCAGATCAGAAGGTTATGGTGACATTTGGGGATTCCAAAGGGGTGACCTTCATAGACTTTCTCAAAGGACACAAGATGGTCACAGGGGCTTATTATGAAGAAGCTTTAAGAATAATGACAAAGGGCTTGGTGAGGAAAAGGCCAGCAAAGTTACACCAAGAAATTTCCCCATAACGATAATGCAGCTACTCACACTTTGAGGGCAGCAAGAACTGTCCTATGAAAATGTCATTGGGAAGCCTTACCCTGTCCAACTAACAGCCTTGATCATGCCCCTTCAGACTTTTTCTTTTCTTTCAAAACTCAAAGAACACTTAAAAGGAACATCCTTTGAGCCCCTCAAGCTGCCAAGAATTCTTTGGGGAAGGATTAGCGAGATGGAAACAGCACTCTCAGAAGTTAATAGACCTAGGTGAATACTATGTTGAGAAACAATAGGTTCACATATTAGTATTTTAATTCAATAAAGGTTTCTAAGTTTGTAGCAATACTTTTTGACTTACCCTCATAAAATGTTCTTGGCATTAAAGACAAAACTTGAGACCTGAAAACAACTTCCTAGGTAGATGGGATGCTTTGAACTGTGCCCACACAGTCAAATGTACACATTCATTCTTCCCTGTCTGCTGGTGGGAATGTTTGGAAACATAGCTGTATGTCATGCCATAGCAAACAGACAAAGAAGAAAAATTACATAAAATTTTCTGGTATCATTTTTTTAAAACTCAAAGGGACAATGTAGACAGAAGGAAGACCATTTGTCATAACAATTTGAACACTCAAAATATTAGTTGTTTTTCTGCTGTAGTCAAGCTGTGGCTCTCCCTATTACTGCCTTGTACATAGATTTTATAAGAGTTCCAATATCAAGCTCCCCTTCAAACACACTACACATCATACTGTGTCTCCTCATTCTACTGTGGAAAATAAGGACAATGTAACCATCTCTTGACAACTCTTAAAACTATTAGTAGAGACAGTCTGAAAATGAAGTGATCATTGACCATAACACCATAATTATCCTTCTAAAAAGTCATTGGAAAGTCTCCCATAAACATCAGTATCAGAAATATCAACAGTTCCCCCCACCCCAAAATTACTACATTCACCTTTTTAAAGCTATCTTTCAAATTAACAAGCTATTCACTGTGATGGAAATATGTTTGCATCTATGCTGGAAACTCAAAATAATTCCAAAATTAATGTACACGTCTTATGATCTGATTTTTTTTTAATGTCAGTAGCTGTCACACTTGGAATGGAAATCTGAGAAAACTGCCATTTTCTAAAGGTCTACACTAAATAGCATTATATGAAAATTGTAGATTTTTCTTAAAATTTTTCTACTTATAATATTAGTTTTCCACAAATGTTTTGATTCATTTATGAATAAGAATGTAAATTAAAAATTCTCTAGCAGATATACACAACCTCATCAAGGCATTTCGTGTGGTTGTCACTACAGAAAATCTTTGTGGATGTTTCCCAGTCGTCTTGTGAGTCAGCCAACTAATACAAAGCTACAAAGGTTTTATGTTGTGTATTCTGAAATTATAAATAACATTTCTAGTACAACGCAAGCTAAGTAATAGAGGATGGGAAATCTATTAGAGGACTGGAACATCTCTCTGCTCAACAATGTTCCATCAGTCTTTACAGGGCATGTAAAGAATGACATTTTCTGCCTTGTTCGTCTCCCTAGGTTTCAATCTTGAGATTTAAGATCTGGACCAATTATCACTAGCATGTACATATTTAACTCCAAGTCACTTACGTAGCATTGCAGGAGAGGTGATAATAACAAATATGGGTGGGCATGTATCAAATAGGGGTGTTAACTTGCCAACTCTTTAGATAGCATAGGCTGAGCTGCATACCCACTCCAAATTAGAA